AGTAGTTGTATAAGCGTTGTTTATTATCGAAGAATCAGTCGACATGTTCAAATAATAATGGAGTTAAATATTATAACAGTTTTAATTCCTGATAAGCAGATAATTTCCCAGCTAAACGACCACAGTGTGCAGTAATGACCGGTGCGTGATGTGATGGCTTTGCGCAGTAATGCGGATGGCCTCGCCGACCAAGATTCTGATATAATATCGCCTTGCTCGTTTAATTACATAATTAGACAGGCATTATATGTTAATTAATTCAGACAACATTAAGATAAAATTGTAAATGGTTTCTGAATTGGAAGGGGGTTGAGTAGACATTAGCAACTGGTGTTTGACTTTGCGTGATTTTTGGATTTGTAGGTCTAGGGAGTGACAACTCGGATGGGCCAGAAAGACTCAAAGTACACTTTTGGTTCCAATGTCCGAGTGCCATAGCTCAAAGAAAGCTGTTCGCTGTGTGCGTACAACAGACGGCGTGGATGCAGAGAAGTTGCTAGGTGGCGTGTTCACTGCGTTAAGTAAAGTGAATGCATATAAAAACAAGCCTGCTACGAGAAAAACCCTCCTTGGTCGCAAACGCTGTTAAAGCGTTGGAAGTCCTGTTCAGTTCTGATTGTATACAGCTCCCTGAGTCGTGAGATTTCAGGCTCACACGGCGACAAATAGGAGAATGTCTTCTGGGATGTCGTGACGCGTAGCCCAGCGTACATTGATCGACGTTTCAGAGTGCTAACCACCTCCAACAGGGCGATGATTACTCATGACAGATTGTGTGTTACTCGTAGGTTTTACATTTAACGAACGAAAACGCGGTGGGACAGAGCTCTTTTCAGAAGCTAATAGTCGCTTATCCTGTCAAGAATTTACCTGTTTTTCATGAAAATGAAAGTCCGTTGCCGTGTTTGCAAGACTGCCACTGGTCTTTCAAGTAGCCTCTTTCTTTCAAGTTTTCCGTTTTAAATTTTTTATGCGTTTCTGGCTTTTGGAATGTGTACTTCTTGACCCATCTGTCTCTTCACTCTTCATTTGGTCGCCCGATTTATATCTGGTAAAACCCACAAATTTTAAAGCTCCTCCTACAGTTTCATCAGCTTTGTGCTGATTTTCTCTTCCCTAGTTTCAGACTTACGACATTTGGTATGGCGATAAACATGGCTGGAGATTTGATGTGATTGATCATTTGTTTGTGTGTTATCATTTAATTTAGTTACGATAAGAGTGTGTTATACAGGAGCCTCTCAATATAGGAGGTTCAGAGGATCTGTTGGAAAGGTGTACTCCCTGGAGTACACATTGTAAGGGTCTTCTATCCACATCACGTAGGTCGTAGTTGCACTAACGTGTCAAAGGAGATTGGCGCTTCTTGGGTCGTTCATGCACTTGCCCAGCAGTCGGGCTGAAAGTCTAAACAGAATGATATGGGACGGGCTCACACCAGAACGTGAAAATACCAAAAAATCATCAGCTGTTACTGTTTATATTGAGTCCATTAAGAATTTGCGACTTGTTAACGCTTAAGGTAAAGCGAGTAGAGATTGCTCACAATTCGGGAAAAAATCACTAAAAATCGAATGTTTATCTATTTTCGTAAATAAGTGTACACATGTGTTCTTTGGTATGTTAGGCATATTTAATGAACAATATTCCGATTGTTTTTTCAATTTTTGATAAGATAATGCAGTTTTTTCAGACATTCGATTTTACGCAATCTCTCCTAACCGGGTAGGTGAGATTGCGCAAATGGGTAGGTGAGATGGTTTATGGTTTGAATTACTTATTTCGATCAAACTTTATTAGAAATTGTTATTATAAAATGAATTAGAAGCTTTATTATTACAGAAAATGAATAGTAATGTTAATAAAAAAAGAAATTGTTTTATTATTATAAAAAATAAATAGATAATTGTATCCGACTGTTTATACTCAAAAGCACACATATTATTCTTCGTAATTTTAGGAAAGTTAAGTCGGCCTATTGTAAGTCAGGAGAAGAAACACACTTAATCAAACAACAAACGTACTTAATTACTAATATTAACCCTTTGCGGTCCCTTTTAAATACTACTACAGCTCTCTGCAAGTCTATTTAAATACCACTAAGCTGTATAAATTCAACTACTATTATGAACTGTTTTGATTTTTTTTAACTTGCATAAAACGGAAGA